GGGGTGAGGTGATGCAGAGTGTCCAGGATACGGGGTGAGGTGATGCAGAGTGTCCAGGATACGGGGTGAGGTGATGCAGAGTGTCCAGGATACGGGGTGAGGTGATGCAGAGTGTCCAGAATACGGGGTGAGGTGATGCAGAGTGTCCAGGATACGGGGTGAGGTGATGCGATGAATTTCAGAAACGGGGCTATACGTTCAAGTCTCCCCTCTTCACTCCTTCCTATGTATCTTACCCAACCCTTCTCAACGTCATTCTACGCCAGCTCTCATGTCATACGTGGCCTTACCAAGTGCTGCAATAAAGACTACGTGGAACTTCGACTGCCAGTTGCCGGAATTCACGTGTCTGTACTTAACCCTCTTATTAGGGATTCGAGACTGCATCCCATACTCGTAGCTTGGGTACGAGGCTGGAATACGTGACTGTAGTTTAAAGGAGGAGTGAGAAGAGTTGAAACGATACTTGGGTAAGGGTGAAAAGGGTTGACTGATGCGTGAGGAGAGGTGAGAAGGGTTAACTTGATTGGTTATGATTGTGATATGCCTGTCACAAGGTGGGATTAGAACATGGTTAACAGTATTGTATATATAGTATATAACATAGTATATAACATTATTTTTATAGTGCAGTCGTATATCGTATATTTTACACGATATATTACAGTATTTTTATAGAATATCTTGTAGTTGCCTGTAGAAGAAATAGTTTTCAACTCGAGCTACTCTAAAGTTGAGTTAAAGCTGTAGTAACGGGGCTGCAGAAAATATATAAGCAGTAAAGTTTAACATAATTAAGAGGACATTTTCATTAAAAAAGTAAAGAGGAAAGTTCATATAGAGGACCGATTGACGCATTAATGATGACTGATGTGAGCAAAATTGACATTATCTTGCTAAATCAAACGACCAGGCACTTATTTGGTCATTTCATTAAGATATATCTAGTATTTTGTGGTAATATAGATGATAAATTAATAGTTTTTATGACCAGTATTGCAGGCAAGCGCGTAAACAAATAGTTCCGGTCTGTTGATTTTGCAGCAGTGAAGTAATTCGTGTCAACGAATTGATTTTAAACAAAAAATAGTGGTAAGCATTGCAGTTCGACGGAGCGCTATTAATGTGATTAGCAAATACTTTCCAATTTATTGATGATATTGCATTGTTAGACACTAAATTGAATATCTAGTATATAGACATGCAGTTAAGAGTGGAAACTGTAGCCTTGATTTAGTAACACTAGGCTGAGTAGAAACTAGTGGAAGAAATTGTGAATACAAATAATAGAGATGAGAACGTTGCAAAGAAGCATTAATCACGAAACTGACATAACTTAATGTGACTTATGATCAATAGACTCTATTGGGAATATTGTTCATATGTGGTTAGTTCATTCATCATGGATATTGATCATTTCAGAAATTGTAATCCGAAAATAAAAGTTAAATCAATTTTTTTATTTACTTATAAGACGACATGAGAAGTTGAGCGAACATACAAAGTAGAGGTGTGCAGGTAAGAGTCATGCCTTAACTAATTCAGCGAATCAAACACAAATGTTTAGATACATTTGTATTAAATTCTTTTGATACCCGGATGCTCTTGCACTAGATACTCTACACTAGATACTTTGCACTAGATACTTTACACTAGATGATTTACACCAGATACTTTACACTAGGTACTTTAGACTAGATGCTTTACACTAGATGCCTTACACTAGATACTTTACTCTAGATGCTTTTGACAAGATACTTTAACTAGATGCTTTACACTAGATGCTTTACACTAGATGCTTTAAACTAGATACGGTACTTCACACTAGATGCTTTACACTAGATACGGTACTTCACACTAGATGCTTTGCATTAGATGCTTTACACTAGATACGGTACTTCACACTAGATGCTTTGCACTAGATGCTTTACACTAGATACTTTACTCTAGATGCTTTACACTAGATAATTTACACTAGATGCTTTACACTAGATAATTTACACGATATATTTTACGCTAGATAATTTACGCTAAATACTTTACACTAGGTATTTTACGCTAGATACTTTACACTGGATTTTTTACGCTAGCTACTTTACACTAGATATTATACGCTGGAGA